CCCGAGGCACGTCGCCCTCTCCAGCGTGTGTCCTGCGAGGCAGTGTGCTGGGAGCTGCTCGTGCACGTGGAGACCCCGGGAGGACCCTGGAGGTGCAGGCAGCCCCGCTCAGTTCAGGCGTCAGGCCGGGCAGCTTCTGGGGCGACAGGTCTGTGACCTCAGAGCATCCAGGAGGCAGGTCTGTAACTTCAGAGCATCCAGGTGGCAGGTCTGTGACCTCAGAGCATCCAGGTGGCAGGTCTGTAACTTCAGAGCATCCCAGGTGGCAGATCTGTGACCTCAGAGCATCCGGGGTGGCAGGTCTGTGACCTCAGAGCATCCCAGTGCAGGGCTGCGGCCGGCAGTGTCAGGAATAGGACATCCCCGGGTCAGGCCGGCCGCCCAGGGCTTGCCCTCCTGCTGGAGACTCACACAGTCTGTTACCTGGTGGGTCTTTTGGAGGAAAAATCCCTTTTGGTTGTCGATGAGACGTTCACTGTTCACCAGGACACTGGACTGTTCCGCAGTGAGTTGTAGGGTTGAGGTTAGGAAGAGGAAGGGGTGGCAGGTCTGTGACCTCAGAGCATCCCAGTGCAGGGCTGCGGCCGGCAGTGTCAGGAATAGGACATCCCCGGGTCAGGCGCCGCCCAGGGCAGGTCTGTGACCTCAGAGCATCCGGGGTGGCAGGTCTGTGACCTCAGAGCATCCAGGTGGCAGATCTGTGACCTCAGAGCATCCGGGGTGGCAGATCTGTGACCTCAGAGCATCCGGGGTGGCAGGTCTGTGACCTCAGAGCATCGGGGGTGGCAGGTCTGTGACCTCAGAGCATCCCAGTGCAGGGCTGCGGCCGGCAGTGTCAGGAATAGGACATCCCCGGGTCAGGCCGGCCGCCCAGGGCTTGCCCTCCTGCTGGAGACTCACACAGTCTGTTACCTGGTGGGTCTTTTGGAGGAAAAATCCCTTTTGGTTGTCGATGAGACGTTCACTGTTCACCAGGACACTGGACTGTTCCGCAGTGAGTTGTAGGGATGAGGTTAGGAAGAGGAAACGCAGTTTTGGAACCGCTTTTATCGAAAGACAAGTAGCCGTCTCGGATGTCAGGACCGTATGATTACATCACAT